AAGAGTCTCGTTTGTTCATTTATGTTCGTGAACGTTCGTTCATTTACCGTTCGTTTATATTCGTTTGTTTATGTTCGTTTATATATTAAGTTTAATATATTATCTTTTATTTATTTACTTTGAATTCAAATAATATTTTTTTATGTTCGTTTAGCTCGTTCGTTTATGTTCGTTCGTTTAGCATGTTTACGAATGAACATAAACGAACACGAACACACCTTATTTCCAAACGAACGAACACGAACACAAATATTTTTGTTCGTTTACCGTTCATGTTCGTTCGTTTGTTGAGTTAAGTTAAACGAACGAACATGAACAAGTCTCCGTTCGTGTTCGTTCGGTTCGTTTACAACCCTAAGTACCGATAAACAACTCCTAAACTTATACCCGACGCGTCTTCATCTTTTGAAAACGGTCAATATATACCCAAACATAATTACAAAAAGTATGGTTTTGGTTATTTAGACTTTGTTTTGTTTAGGTTTTAGTTGCACCATTTGGATTTCAAGGAAATACGGTAGCACCTTCTAAAACGATACGGTAGCACCGTTAACAAACCTAAATTTTTTACCCTTCGGCCGCGAAACAATACGGTGGCACGTGCCACCCATGCCACCCTCTTAGGTCCGCCCATGGTGGTATCACCGGAGGATGGTGGCTGGAGGCCGGAGGATGGGGGATGGAGAGAGAAGAGAGGAGCGAGAAGATATGAGAGTTTTAAAATACCTAAAATGTCCTTACATTAAAATTTTAATTCAAAATAACCAAAATTATAAATTTCTTAATTTATCTATTGATTTGTGGTTGATATTGGACCTCACATCTACACAATCTAATTAGTTTTCATTTGATTAGTCTCATATATATATATATGACTTTGTATAAGCAAATAGGAAGTTTAGAAAAAACAATTACAATAATTAATGGTTTTAAATAAACATCACATACAAGTAATGATATGCATGAGAACAAAGTCTCCAGACATTCAATATATTAATTAAAATTCTTTAAAAAGTATTAATGAAACCTCACCATTAACACTAATCAATAATTACTTCATTACTAATAATGAATAGTAGTTAATACTAAATAAGCTATAACTTAAAGGAAAGTGGTAGTAAGCTCTTTAAAATTATTGTAACGTTATTCAGGGGCTGTTTGGCAGTTGCTGAATGGTTTGGTGCAGAATGGCTAAGTGGTCGGAAGGGTTAAGAGGGTCAGAATGGTTAAGTGCTGAATGAAATAATGTTGTTTGGTAACTGTTTTCTGAATAAAAGCAAATTACCATTTTAACCCTCTTTGTTTTTTTAGTGATCATCCAGTTTCATTATGGTTTACCTAACGACTAAAAATTGAAGAAAGAAAACCTAATGGAAGAAAACCTAATYGAAGCTGTGCTACTGTTAAGGGACTGGCGACCATCAAAGCTGTGGAAGGTCGCCGGCGATGGAAGCTGTGGAGTCTCACAAGCTATCACCGATCGAGCGACAACCGAAGACGGGGACGGAGATGGTGGAGGCTACCGGAGACGGAAGCTGTGGAAGCTGTGGAGTCTCACAATCGAAAATACCATTGACCATCACCGATCGAGCGACAACCGACGAGAGTCTCACAGGCTATTTTTCGGTCATCGGCGAGAGTCACAGGCTATTTTCCGGTCACTACCGGAGACGGGGACGGAGATGGTGGAGGCTGCCGGAGACGGGGACGGAGATGGTGGAGGCTGCCGGAGACGGGGACGGAGATGGTGGAGGCT